AATGAGGGGAGGCAGAAGGTGGTGTTTAGATATGCTTGTAACTTATTTGCTTTGTGTGCCACACATTCCTGTGGTTGATGGAATGCCAGCAATAGAAATAACACTACCTAAGAAATGAGGGGCAGCCTTTCATCTTGAGATCAGAAAAGTAGGGTTCATGCACTTTAGTCAGCTTTCAAAGGGCTTTTTACTTTGTACATGAAGTGCAACTCTACCAGCTCTGCCATGATGATAAAAAAATACTGCCTGATATGGGAGAGGACTGGAGCTTAAGAAGCATTTTACAAGATTGCATGTGCAATTGTTTGCATGATTTACAGAATAGTTTTTCTACCAAAAGTAGAAAACCAATAGTTTTTTGTCAAAAGTCTGTTCATTTTTCAGTTTTGAAAAGGCTTAAATCCTGCTGTAGGACTTACTGGAATAATATTTTTTATCCTTCATAATGAAACATACAGAAATCAGAGTCAATGCTCTTTATTTGCAGGAAGCTTCCTATTTATTTAAATGCATTTAAGCCATTTCCATGTCCTCCCCAAAATGTTAGCTCAGGCTTACTCTAGATTCTCATAAGTCATGGCCAGTCTATAAATGAATGACATTAACTCAGTCATCTCAAAGTAAATCCCTTCAGGTATCTGTGTTACTTTGTCCATGAGCAGTAAGAAAATGGGATGGTTCATCTGTTGTCTCCTGACAACATAATCCCAAGAGATTGCCATCTGATATCAGCTAGAAATGCATGTTTTTCTTTTCAATGTGGGAAAAGCTGTGCTGGAGACCACCATGAAATATGGTAAATGGTGAGAGGAAGCTGGTTTGAAAGAAAAACCTATAAATAAATCCCCAGTTATGTCACTTTAGCATTGTTTTCAAATATTTGTTTTGGTAAATTATAAAACCTCTGGAGGTAAGACTACACTGATGAACATAGATACCTTAAGGATAGATGTTGGATGGAATTTGTATAGACCTTATTAGAGCCATGAATTGTGCCAGTCACAGGTAAGAAAGGAAAGCTCTGGGGTCAGAAATTGGAAGGTTCTTGGAGATCTTCTTAGATAGTAGCTCAGATCCTCAGCTTCAAATAGCTATCACAATTTCCTATTGGCTCAAACAGAGCAATAATTGGTAGGGAAATGCATCTGCTGAACAGAAATAGCTGCAGAATGGAAACAGGCAGGTTCATGGACTTTATTCTGCCTTGCCATGATCAACCAAATCTAAGGTGATGCTAGGGCAAAGCAGGAGGCATTGAGTCTCTGTGTAAATATCTTGATCATGCCAGAGACTGATAATATCCTTGATGGTAAAAGAAGGGGGAGGAAAAGAAGGACAAGTAAGAACCCTGGATTTAATTCTATGGAGCCTCTGTTTCTGCATTGATTGAGATTGCTTAGACTATTCTCCCTGTGTGAAAACTGGACTTTGAGACTGGTCCGAGCTGCACACTAACCAGTAAGATAAAGTTTCTTATTTCTAGTCAGCAAAGTTATGCTCTAAATTATAGCAGTGGTGTGCTTATTAATGTGTATCTATGGCCTGCACTTACTGGGGACTCTAGTGCTTGCTGTGGGTCTTATGCCCACCCTTTTGAAACCATCTTTGGAAGTGATCAAAGGCTGTCTGATATAACATCAGCTTGGATTCTTTGGGTCTTTGTCTTCAGTGAACATTTAGAATCATCCAAATCAAAGCATAATCAGTATATACAGCACCAGTGAATTTTCCTACTCTAGAGGTAAAGAAATGAACCACAACTCAACTGCTTTTGCAGAACTCAGAATGAGTTTCCTTGACAAAAGGGGGAAAGGGACACACAGGAGATAAAGTGGTCCTTTGTTCTTGTATCTTGAAAATTGGTGCCAATTCTAAAATGATCATCTCATCTTCTATAAACCAGACTCACGACACTGGAGAATGTATGTCATGAGTCTCATATAACCTATCTCTAACCTCTGAGCATAGTAACCAGGACCTTTCTCTTTACTTTCCAGTGAGACTTGCAACACAAATGAAGCATTGTTGATTTCAACAAGTAAAGGTGTCTGGAATTTCAATGTGCCATTTTCTGAACAATTATGGGAAATATTTACTGGAAAATGCTTCTGCCTTTCTGAGAGTTCAAAGAGGGGATGTGAAGTTCCTGAAATCTGTGTGAGAAATGAGATTAATAACCATTTTCAGTTTGGGGCAATTGACTTAGAATAGCTTTCATTCAGTTTCTAGATTAGTTATTATTTTTGGTAAAAAGCCAAAAGGAAACTACTCACTACTGAGAATACAGGATGTTGATCAGAGGCATAAATTCTCACAAGTTTAATCATGGATGGATATTGTGTTGGGATGGATAGATCCTTATAGGCATATACTTTTATCAAGCACTTTATCAAGTGTTACTGGAAGTAGCAAACAGCTTTTCCCTTTAGGTTCACCCACTTCTGTCAGTGTGCAGTCCTTGCCAGAGGACGCCTTCATCTTTTTTAGGAAATGCATCATGCAGATAACTAATAGGTTCCAGAACCACTTACAATTGAGTATCAGGCACTCTCCAAGTAATCCTGTAGCTGTGTAGTCATTTATGAAGAGAAAAAAACCAGAATTTTAAGTATGGAAAAATCATTCTTATTTTTAGCGTTCAGTTCTGTCATTTCTACATGTTCATTTGTATGTTTCAATCTATCCTGTTACAGAACAGTTTACTGCAAATCACAGAGCAGTGACTCCACAAAGTTATCTAACTGAATAAAACATATGAATATACTGTTATACAGAGTAGAAATATTAATAAGTAATATGAGTTAACTAGATTAAATTATTTTAGCAAAGGAATTCAGGGAGACTGCTCCACTCAATAGACAAGTAGAACAGAAGAATGGAGTCTTTGCAACCTGGTTTTTAGTTGACTGTTTACATAGAAAGCCTATTCTGTGTGGTTTTATAACTAACATTATTCATGTGGACACACTTATCCATCCAGTCTATCCTTGCACATTGACCATTAATGTTCTTTTGTAAGGAGTGGTTGCTTTCTGTTAATTGTATTCATCAGATAGCAAGTGTTGTGTAAAATCTGCCAAGCTGGAGTTTGTCCAAAATATCTCTTTGGGAGGAATGTTGATGTATCTGTACCATTCCCCTACAGAGTTCAAAGTTGTCCAGAAACAGATTTCACATCATCAAGTGGTGATTGCTCATGTGTTGGGTTCATGATGGATCACAAGGCAAGTACATGGGAGATTTGCTCAATTAGGAGTCAAATCATTTGATCCTGGTATCTGAGGATTTATGTTTGCAAGGCTATGAAATACTCATTTACTTTCTCCTTGGCTTCTAAAGAAAAAGTTACATTTCTTTGGCTCAGGTTATCTTTGGAAGGAAGGCACTGTCATAGCTCTTAATCAGAAGCCTGACAGACATATTAAGTCTGTGATATGTAGCTCTATTTTTAAGTATTCATCCAAGGAAATTCCTTCTCTTTCTAAATTTAAAATTTGACAGCAGTTTAACAGAGAATATTCTGGGTATTCTCAAACACACATCATATATTTTTCTTACATTTTCCCTCTACTATTCAGGTCATCCAGTTTTAGTTTCCCAATTTCTTCTTTTTCTATTTGTTATCTTCCAAAAGAAGTTCAGTTCAAAATTCAGATCATGTCTTCTGTTATTTTAGACGGTTTAGTGACCAAACAGTGTAATTTCTGATTTCAGATAACTTCTCTTATGGCCACGTTTATATTGTTGAATGCAGTTATTTCATCCTTTATACCTCCTTTAGAAAAACAACAGTAAGTGAAAGCAAAGGACCATAAAGAAGAGGTTGGAATATGTACACACAGTGTTGAGATGTATAAAGTTCAAACTGGAGTAATTATATTTTATCACTCCTTATATTAAATTATATTATATTACTCTCTTCCTACCATGCTCTGTTGTTCTCTATTCAGCATCTGTGCTGTTTTATCTCTGTGAATTCTCTTTCTTCTGTATTGTTATTCTCACGTATGTTGCTTGATCCTCCAAAAGTTGGCAAATTATGCTCAGAAAGTGGAATTTCAAAGCTGCTTTCTATATACCTTCATCTGAATTTCTGTAAATACAACCTTTCCCAGAGGCTTTCCATTCCTTCCTGGTAGCTGCCTGGAAAATATTGTGAGAATCCTCTTTTTCACTGTAGTTCCAAGCTTTCTGTCTTGAATTAGTAAGTGACAAGGTGCGTGAGAAAAAGCAAAAAGTTTTTATATCTTCCACCGATCATTCATAAAATTAATTTATTTCTTTATTCCTAGCCTTTCCTCAATGTTCATCTCCTTTTTAAGTATATGATCTCCTTCTTAATGGTTTAGACTCTTTACTCCTGTTATCCTTATATATTCTATAGCCTTTCCTCTGTTGCTTTTCTGCATCTCTTTATCTTCCTTTTTGTTTTATTCATATGCCTGACTGATCATGCTTTTTTTTCCCCCCTCTTAACACAGAAAGTGTTTTTTTCTTGTTTTTCTTTGTTTTTTTCTCTTGATCCTCACTTGTGTGATCTCTAATATAAATTATATTTTCATGTGATAGGGATAAAAGAACAACTGCAGTCATGAAAGTCAGGTCTAAATAACAAAACTCTTTCCTACAAACCTTAATTGGGAACCAGCCCAGGTGTTCCATAGCACAAAATCGTAGTTCTAGAATTTCAGTGTTACAGCTGTAGGCACTGAACGGCAGTAGGAGGAAATCCAGGCAGAGATATAGAGATTAAGGGGGAAATAGAGAAAAGTGCAAGGCAAGTGAGGAAAAAAATTACCTATATAAAGAATACTGCTTTTGCTGTTCAGGTACCTGGTTGGCGCTCAAAACTGCAGGGCAAAATTTCCAGAACAGCCGAAGTCTACATGAATATGACGAGGCTGCTTGCTTAATTCCTTATTAACCACACAGTTGTGTCACTGCTGAGACTATGTGCTCTTATTGATATCATCTGATGCAGAAAGCACTCCAGGCCACAGGGCCCTGAGATGCTCTATTTCTTTGTGTAGCCCTATCGCTCCTTCCCTCTCTCCTCCCCTTCTTTCTCCACTCTATATCCAACTCTAGCCTCAAGCACCAGCCTATAGACATGTGGAGAATAATATTTTCTTGCCATAAGGTAAAACTCTAGAAAAACATCATCTGTAAGTATCTGTTAATTTGCTAATTTTTGGCTGGCTGTGTATTTTGGTTCCTGGTGACAATTTAGTAATAGTTAGATCTAACATAGACCAGAACAAAATGTCACATAGTATGTATATACACATATATATGATCTGTTAACATGTATTGCACTGCAGTAGTCTGTTGAATGTTACCCACTGAGGTTTTTTCCCCCCCAGTCTCTATCCAATATATGAAATCTCAGATAATTTGAAAGAAACAGAATCTATTTCTCAAATTTTTGTCTTCAGTCCTTTGTGGCTATTTAGCATTCTTCAACACTTTACCTTGGCAGCAGTGAAAACCTATGACTCTATCTGCTAGGCTCCATTTCCTCTTACTTTCATTAATTCCAGACAATTACAGTTTCTTTAATTACAAAGCACAACAAATTATGCTAATCAATCCTGTTTACACCAGCTGGGATTCCTTATGATGCATGGATATCTGTAGTTGGTGAAAAATGAGGAGAGACAGAAGTGATTAAATTAATTCAAAAATTCATCATCCTAGAAGCATGCCCAGGTGGAAGCTTTATTGGCAGACTCCTGTCCAACCTGAAAAGCTTGGGTCTGAGATCAAATTGAAACCTCTCTCTCAGGGAGGCTGTTAAACTAAAGAAAGGGGCTCTAGACAGTCTGAGATCTTTAGAGTTTATGTTTATATTTATTTTAGGTGCTTTTAAAAAGGAATTACTCTCATTCTCCTTACTGTAACTACATTGTTACGTTGCCACACCATGTTCTCTTTTGCTGAAAGATGAATTACAGTAGTGGGACAGGCAATATCAGTAGAAAAAACAAAACAAAAGGGGAAGAAAACACGCACATATACTTACTCTTCAGCACTCCGCTTCTATAGTCCATGAAATTTCTGCCCATCTGTTTCTTTTTTTCCATCCCCAAACATGGGCCTTAATCTTTCTGGAGATTCTTTTAAGGATACAAGAGGATATAATCTAAAATATAGTAATATAAATATATATTTTCAAACAGTCCTTCAGTGAGTACTAAAATATTTTTGCTTCCTAATATAAGTAAAAAAAATTCTGATATATGTATACTGATGTAATTTCATTGGATTGAGAAAAAGATTTGTCAGTATGGCATTACCTCATAGCCAGAGCCAGATAAAAGCTCATGAATTAAAATTTATGCTTAAGTGATATCTGGTGCAGCTCACTGTGGCACCACCCTGGAAATGTATTGCATTTCAAATTCAGCCCTTTGTCATTCATTTGACAGTTGCATTTACTCTGCAATTTGAACAGGTTGAGGCCACCTCATTACATACATGATTTCCAGTGAAAAATTTGACATCAAAAATCTAGAGAGGGGAAAGACACTTCTTTATACATAATACATATATATTATTTAGAGAAACAAGCCCCTTCAAAACAACAAAGAGGAATCTACAGTTTTCAGCCACTTCTTTCTTACAAACTTATTTCTGTTTGTCCAGAAAGCACACCAGTAAGCTCCAGACATGCTCACATAATCTTAGTACTGGCAAAAGTACAGTATTGCCAAGGGAGCACATTTAGAGGCAAATTGATTTCACTCATTCAATGGAAAAAAAATGCATGATATTGCAAAGCCCTTTGAAAAAGAAACAACACCAAAGTGAAGCAGCATCCTTTTATATATGCATTGGAATCGTTCCTAAGCCCATAAAGAAGCTTTGGTGATTTTCAGTTAGACCTAAACGTTATACCCATATGTGAATAAATGACTATGTGGACCACTTTTCTATTTGAAAAATTATCTCTGCACCACAAAATAATATATAATATATACCAGAATACCCTCCTGGTGTCATCTTTGTGATGAATGAATATCATGGTGGAGGAGGAAACTTGCTTTCTTCCTATTTTTCTTCCATGCTTGTAGATTTATATTGAGACAAAAAATGAAACTCTGATGCACTTGCTGTTAAGCAGTGTTTGAGAGATACACCCTGCTCACTAGCACTGATCAAAGACATCAGCAATTTGTGGGATAAAATTGTGGCTACATCTGGGCAAAATCTGATGGAGGGTGGAGAGAGGGGCTCAGTTACCTGCCTCCATTCCTACTGCAGGATTTCTTTACAGACAGACTAAAGACTGACAGTGCAGTGTGGTGTGCTTAAATGCAATGAGTGCCGGCCAGGCCACAGGGCACTTAGATGTTTGACTTCTCTGTCCATCCCTATCTCTCAGGTGCTCCAAGGGGTAGGATCCAGACTACCTGTGCAGGACAACTCTCTGCATGCATACAGTGAATTTTGGCTCTGAGACCATCTGTGAGGCCAAAAGTAGGGAGCCTGGGTAAGTGAAGTGCTGCATGGATCCATTGTCTTTCCAGCACTTGTATAAAACTTTACAAACACCTTCCAAAAACAGCTTCATGTAAAAGAAAGAGAGGTAGGTTACCCATAGCAAAGACAAATCCTTAAAAGCAGTCCAGTGCTGTGAAACTGGGAACATCTTTAACCCCTGCAGGACACACAGTTGCGAGAAATTTTTCCATTGCTCAACTCCTTCCACATTGTTAAGTACCTCTTACCCACACTTGTGAAGGAGAAATGGTTCAGCTCTGCTACAGTGCAGTACATACAGTAAAGCTCTGAACTTTTAAAGGAAGCCTCAAAAGCAATCTCAGCAACCACAAGAGTTTTTTGACCCAGACAGGTTTGGATGAGTCAGAACATGTGTTTTTAACTTTTCCTGTGATTAACATATTAGAAGACAAGGCCAATATATTAAGATTCCTAAGATTGTACTTTTCTCTGGGTGTATCTTACCTGATGTGAGACAGGTTGCTTTAAACACCTCTTATACAGGGGTTTCTAAAGGTGTTTCTAAACAGATGATGATTAGGCAACCATCGCACCACAGGGAACAATCATGGCTTTTTGCTTCGCTCTACTATTGCAATAGTCATGAAAATACATGTCTGAGATTGTTTTAGGAGGAAAAGTGCACATCCAGATGCATGACTTCATGCCTGTGAAGCTAGAATGTGAAGTTAGAATAAAAGAAAGGAAATGAAGATGTGGGGAGACAGATGTAGGACTCCTTTCTCAAATTCAAATTATGATGAGTGTTCTTATCTATGTTTGCATCACTTGAAGAAACTGAAATGAAACATTTGTGACTTCTACTAATGCTACCAGAATATCCTTGGAAAAGGGCAGCATTTGCAGAGTGTTTATTAGCAGTGTTGTCAGTGTGTTCTCAAGCTTTAACTCAATAATACAGAGAGAAATGCTAAGGCCCTTGGCTTCCAGATAATCCAGATGATTTTGTTTCCTTTTTGGCAGTCTCACAGAAAGACAGGAGAGGAAGTTTTACAGTGTCAACAGGGTTGTATGTGTCCATCAGCACAGGAGTCTCTGGCAACAAAAGGTTATAAGTATCCAAACTAAGGATTTCTTTCCCTTTCCCTTTCCCTTTCCCTTTCCCTTTCCCTTTCCCTTTCCCTTTCCTCTTCCCCTTCCCTTTTTTTCATAATATGTAGCATCTCATTTATCTCACTTTGAGTACATCTTTTCAAAGGATGCCCTGAAAACCTTTGCATATTTTAGATTTTAAAGGATATGTTTGTAAGTATCTGCAGCATGTAAATTTGGTACTTCTCCCATGCTTCTTTCTTAGAAGAAGATTCCAAATCTTACAAATATTTTGAAGAAACCTGCAGAAAGAGCAAGACTATGACAGCATGGAACAAAGATGCCTGATCTCCAGAGTTTTCAGAATGATCACCAGTTCTTGTCAACTATTGCAAAAGTAGGAAGGATATAATTTTGACTGACAATGATGAACAGAACAGTTGAAAGAACAAAAGACATTTTCAGCACTTCAGCACACCTCCCTTATTCACAGCACCAAAAACAAGTGCTGTGATTCACATATGACATGCGGAATTCCTGAGATTAACTCCTCCAGTTTAATTTTCCCAGAGGCTTTGGTCTATACCAATTACTTAACATTCCTTCTCTTAACAGGTCTAATTGAAGAAAACCTGTGGGTCGAGGCAGTAATCAAAACCTTCTGGTGAATTGCCCAGTTCACCTCTTTCAGCCAAGATGTACTTCTTTACATCCAGGGCATGAAGCCAATGCCTTGTTCTGCTGTTTTTAATGGCCAGTATCATCACCATTACTGAAAGTCCTTGATGGAGAGACAGAGATCAGGGACTCTGGAGTTCACTAAAACCTCCCCAAAACTTTCAGTAGGCAAAGGCACAAAGAAGGTGTTTTCCCTGCCTTTTTAAAGGTGAGGAAGTAAAGAAGCTCATGGGGTCATTTTCTTAGTGAAGGAGCTCATAGGACCACTTTCATTTGTTTCTGCTCCAAATCATCAAGTGCCCCTGCACCCTGAGTGCCCTGTATGTGACCTGAAACAAGTAATTTAATCCATCTGTGCTTTGCTTCCACAACTATAAACTGGAGATAATCCTTCTCCACTTCTGCAGGCAGCCTGGAAGATAAATTCGTTAATTCTTGGGAGCTGCTCAATACTTTGACAAATTGGGCTCTCTGCATGCAAGCACTTATAAAAAATTTCTGCTCCTGAAGCAACACTTCTTCTATCTGACAGCTGAAAGATGTAGGTTTGAACATTCTAATCCACTAGGCCTTAAGACTTTAATCCTCCAAAGTCACCCTAGTGATTATTATGCCTGGTTGAGCATCAGAACTGAACAAACAAATGCTGAATAAAGTCAGTCTGCCAAAAGATTTCACTTCAGATATTTAGGTTTTGTTTGGGTTCTCCCCCTCCCCACCTCAGGCTGAAGAAAAAAAAAAAAAAAAGGAAAACAAGCTGATAGAATATTAAGACAGCTGCCAGGCTTGGTTTTTACCACAGATACCATGAAGCAGCAGCATGGAGCTCAAACCCCAAATATCTTGCTCTGGTGGAGGAGGCAGGAAAAAAAATAAGAACAAAGAGAAGGAAAGAAGAGCACTTGAGGACAGAGAAAAATGTGCTAACAGTGGTTTTGGTCAGGTCCATTAAAATACTGTGGATCTTCACAGGCAGTGAGTTCTAGGACAAGGCTGGTGTGTGGGTGACATTAGTTGTCACAGCATATATAGAGCAGGCACCAGAACCACATTGGTGTTGTGTTTCTCTCTACTTACTTCTTGTTTTACCATTTGCTTTGAACTGAGTTTGCCTCAGGGTCCTAAGGAGATTCACAGAGGAAAATGCTTTAAAAACAGACAGTTGGAATTTTATGCCTATGAAGAAAATAACAGTGTGGGATGGACAGGTCTTTGAATCAGTCCTGTTTGATTCCCAGTGGTTCAGTGGGGTTTAAATGGATTGCATGAGCCATACTGCCTCTCTGTGAATGTAAAAAGGCAATAAAGGACAAGTGATTTCCTACATCTCTGTTTATATCTTCCCCTATATTATCTTCTGATTTATATAAATTTCATCACTCACTTTTATGCAGCTATTAATTAGGACCATATTACACAGTTTTATAGTTGAAAAGCAAATATTTTAAAATATCATTCTCTGGAAATAAAATACTATTTTTCAGGAGAAAGCATTTTAAATCACATTTGCAAGTGGATCCAAGGTTTACAAGTTTGTTGTGGTTCTAATCAGCAACATGCTGTTCAAGTACTATTTATGAGAACTTGTTGATACAGAAAATGGGACTGGAAATATTGCAAAAACACACTCAGTCTGGTATGGAAGCAACTTCCAAGAAGCTATTTTTGAGCAATTTCCACTTCTTGTCTTGCCCTTAAACAGGAAGCAGTAAAAATCATAACAGTAACTATGTTTAAGTTCTCAAGCTTTCTTAAACATTGCAAACAAGTTTCTGACAGCATAGGTTTTGGTAGTTTCATATTAAAGCCAAATAAATTTTACCCTCCTCATTTTCTGCTTTTCTGACTGAGAATACCTGTACACTCTCAGGTATTTTTAGCAGAAGGATTTTTTAGAAGCCCAAGACTGCATTTTGTCAATGACAAAAGTCTTTACAGCAGTGAAGAATTTCTATTAGTTCTTCCCAGTTGGAGAATTTGGCTGAGCAGTCAGTGTCTAATATTATGTTAACCTATAGCTACACAAATCATGTTGTTGCTATTGTCCTGAAGCAGCAAATAATTGTAGAGCAAATTAATCTTCTCATTTTTAAGTTCTTAGGATTCTAATTCAGCATGGATACTCAGATCAGTAGAAGGAACTCGGCATTGTCCTTCAAATAAACATTTAGTCCCAGCAAATGGAGGTAGCGCATGTTACATGTTTGCCTTATCTGTCCTTGGCTGATAATAAAGGAACAGAGATTTAGAAAGCATAATGGTTGTTATGGAATGGGGTGGGGGGAAAGGCTGCCCCTTTCCTTTTGTCAAATAAAATAATTTTAAAAAGCATCTTGCTTCTGAAATTGTTATTAGCAGGAGAAAAAGTAAGAAAAGGTATTTTTTCAGCTTTTTCTTCTCTCCAATCACTCAAGTTCTACTTGTTTTACTGCAGAAATCATTTTATCAGCTAATTGTGTTTAGAACAATAGTTGATGAAGCACATGGGAAGCTGAGCTACATGTTCACTGCCCTTGTGCCTGCTCAGGATGTCCACCACGTGCAGGCGACCTCGCAAGCCTTCCCAATAGAGGGGATTTCTGTCCCTGACCTTTGCAGATGTCATGCTGGGCTATTTTTGTTGGTGATGTTAATTTAGGCTATAAATCGGAAGGGAACTTGTTACCGTGTGGGAAGAAACACAAAGTACAATCTTTGTGGAAGTTTTATCTGTGGTGCATACCTCAAAGCCATAAAAAAAATCTGAAATTTAAAAAAAATTAAAATTTACAGCAATCTCCTCTTTTACTTTTGTCCTTCATTCTTTTTCCTCTTCTCTTGCAAGGGAATTAGGACTCTTTAAATGTCTTTCCTTACTACCCCTTTACTTGGTTCAAAGATATGTGCTGATTTGTGTTTTATTTAGCATTATTTCTATAAAACAAAAAGTATATATTATATATTATATATTATATATTATATAATATATATTTTATATATTTTATATTTTATATTATATATATTATATATCTATATAAAATGTATAAAAGTTTATTTATTAAGAAATACTGTACAAAATATGATTGTATGCTAAATAAATGAGTTAAAATGACCAACGCTGGCATAGTTTTACAAACAAAATTAGATATATTTTGTTGAAAAGGATCTCAGAAAAGTTGGCTGAGAAAGGGCCCTAAGAATGGAAACAATCCCTGCCCCTTTCTCTGCTTTTAAATATATATAAATTTTATTTTATTTATTTATTAATAAATGTATATATACATATACATATACATATACATATACATATATATATACATATATATAAAAAAATTTGGTTTTTGTTGTTAAAACAAATTCTCTAATCCCCCAGGAAAGGACACTCCCTCCAGATATGCACACTTTTCAAGACAGAAGTCTAGATGGTGGGGCAGAGAAGGGATGCAAGTAGTGCTCCTTGGCATCTGCTTTCTGTCCAGCTGCACAAGAGGATTTCTCAATACTGTGGCACCGTAGCACATTTCAGAAATAGTAAAAGCCTACAGTGAGGACATTTCTACTGGGATTTGAGAGGTCAGCACAGAGGAGTGAGAAAACTTTAAACAGTTGAACCCTGAAGTAAACCTTTAATTAACAAAGCTTTTTAGAAGTTTGGAACCAGTCTGGTACTGGTCTTACTTTTCTGGAGAAATGAATGCGTATAAATGTTAGACTGGAAAACAGTCTCTCCACTTTTGTAAAGGGATACTATCTGTGTCTTTTCTAACATCTCTATCACATTACCAGCCGTTTCTTAAGGAAAACCAGCCATTGGAAATCTGCCAGATCTCAAATAAACTAGCCCAAAAGAAGCAATGGTAAATTAACTAGCAAAAATATTTTGCTGTTACAGAGTTTCATTTTGACCTTTGCCTGCTGTTTAATTTTCCTCCTTGTTTCTCAGTGAAGGTGAAGAAGTAATCTTTTTATCATATTCTGGATCAATGTAAAATAAAACCCCTGAATCTTACAGCATGCTATTTGTTACTCAGTAACATAGGCATTGCTAGCTTCTTTTCTTAGTTTTGTTTATCCTTTCTGAAGGACAGGTAACAGAGCTGGAAACAGCAGGAATGGTCTCAGTACCATTCTATAAAGAGATAATATCAACTGCTACTCTTCCAAGGCATTAATTTCTATATAGAGTTGAAATTGATGTTTGCTCCCTAAGTGTTTTTGTCTCATAGGAATTCATGTTTAATGTGTTACCTACCAGGAACATGAAATCCATATCACCATCACTAATTGGCTGATCATAATCCCTCTTCTTATAAATAAGGTATACGCTTAAATGAATGACTGCTTTTCTCTGTGCTAAACTGCTTATTGTACAACTGAACCTACTTCATCAAGTCAGCTTGATTGCTAAATGCACTGGTAGGAAGAAATGTGAACTGTCCAGAATCATCCAGGGTAAGATTCATCTTGTCATACTTAACCTAATTAAAAACTGACCATCCAGGCTGCATCAGCCACCTAGACTGGAGAGGCAGAAGTAAGCTTTTCCCAACAGTAAATATTTAGGACTGATGGGATAAATCACAACATGTGAATGCCTGGGGTTTTTATCATTGTATAAGAAGGCACATGACATTATTTTCTTGGACTTGAAAGGGATAAAGTGGATCAGATAATCCGAATTGTAAAAATTCTACCCTTATCCATTACAATTTTTCTGACAGTTTGTCTTTCTGTACTATGCCATGAACTTCTTCCCTCTCTCTCTCTCCTCCCCTGCAAGTAATAATACTGATGGAGCAGTATTTTATATATTTTAACAAGATGAGTGATACTGCATTGCAATGCCAAGACCAATATTCATGTGGTGATGCTATGTTTTTTCTTCTGGTAACATGTTCTCTTGGTTTCTCTTTGTGGTTTCTTGGAATATGGTACTTTTTTTTCTCTATTTTTTCAAAATGTAAAGTGAAGTTTATGTTTATGAACAGAATCTTGGAAACCAGAGATATTTATCTCAGAAGTCCGGTAAGGGCACTGAGAGGACAAATGAACATTTTTTTGAGAGCAGCCATGAAGAATCCCACACTCTTGGCAGGGTGAGCAATTCTGGTTTTTGCAGTAGTCAGCCTTGAGGTGGATCTCCAGTGAGGTGCATCTTTGAGAGCTTTCTCCAGCTAGAATTCAGCAGATTCCATCTGTATTTCTCTCATAAATTGCAACAGCTATCAGAAGACAGAAAAGGTCTTTAATCAGTGATGATCTGGGCCAGATGTGAAGATCTTACCAAACATAAAGAGGCTTGCTTTCCCACATAGTTTTTGCTTCCTGAAGGTTTCAACCAAAAATCTCAGATTACACAAAACACAAAATATAGGCCAAAATCTTCCTACTTACAACTAGGCAAATCTCATCAATTTCCTAGCCAAAGCATGATGCTGTGCAGCTGAAACCCTGAGACTCTAGCAGCAGAGAAAACAGGAAGACCATAAATTTATCCACAGACCACTGATTTCCTAGTTTTATACTCCAAGATTATAAGAAACTAACAATGCCATCCAAGTCCCTTTGGTTGTGAATGCATTATTAATTGCATATCACATTTAGATCTTGTATAGGGAAGCATAACTTTTTAAAACTTTTTAAATGCTACACTCAAATAAATATCTTCCGTAGAAGTAATAATGAATTTGATCAAGACTTTGGGATTTTTTTCAAGGAAAACTGATGCTATGCTTAAAGTAATTGGCTGATATTGTCTCACACAATTTCAAGTTTCTCCTAATGGAGTTTTTTTAATTAATTAATTGGATCATGTTGGATAATGATTAATTAATCATTTAATTGGAGAAGCAAACTTTTAACAGAGAGAGTTAAGATGTTGCAACAAGATAGTAGAACCTATGGAGCAGAGCCTCCTAGCTCCAGAAGTAGTAGTAATTATGCAGAACTACCTCACTTTTACAGGTGGCTGTGTGATACATCTCTTACAGGAAGGAATTAGGTTTCTGCACTGGGATACTCAGCAGTCACAGCTGGGAACTGAGATGCTTCAAAAACCCAGTAGGAAGAGCCTTGATTTGAAATTTCC